TCTTCGAGAGACACTGTCTGCTTTTTAAAATGTGCTTAATGAATGAATAATCAGAAAGGAAATTTTAATATTTCATTTCTTTTGTTGCTTGGTAATTAACCAAAAAAAAAAAAAAAAAAAAAAAAAGGAAAAAGGAAAAAACCAAAGACGTACATTGTTACCACAGCACTGTTTTCAGCTTAAAGCATTACCAAAAGTGCAGCTTTTAAGATTTCCCTTCAAAGTCTAGGTCATGCTTTGTTCCTCATCTTAGGGTAATTTTTCAAAGGCAAAATACAACTGAAGCTTGTTGGGTAAAGACAATATTGATTAGATGTGACTCTGGTGAATGCATGCTGGGACAGGCAGGAGTTTGTCTTCAGTATGGACTCTGGCTTTAACACAACATTCTGTTTAATACTGCAAAGGTTTTTTTCCTACTTCTGTTACCATTTTGCATAGGTAAATATATTGTAATTAATGTTTGCACTGGAAGTCTCTGCAACAGATTTTTGATGATTGAGTAATGGAGTTCAATGGCTATTGCTCTGCAAGGTTGGACTGCCTTTTTTTTGAGTTCATGGGGCATGTACATACTACTCAAGCTAAACAGAGCCATCTCTTTAAATGAACATTTTTATTCTTCTTTTGACCCGACAGGTATGAAAAAATGACCAGTGGAATGTACCTAGGTGAAATAGTAAGGGAAATTTTGATTGACCTAACCAAACAAGGGCTGCTGTTCAGAGGACACATTTCGGAATCACTCAGGAAAAGAGGAATATTTGAAACAAAATTCCTGTCTCAGATTGAAAGGTAAAGTTGTTAGATTTACCTGATTTAAATCCCTAAAGTCTTCTGGGACACCTAGGACACAGTCTTTTGCAAGTGTGGGGAACCCTTTCCTTCAAGAAGTCAATTAAGTCAGTTATAGTTTTCTTCTTTGTGCATCCCCCACCTCCAGAATAAAAGTTAAAAATAAGAAACTGGGGAAGTCACAGGATTATTGCTGTAATTATATGAATTATCATTTCCTATCCACACAACTGGGTTATCTTGGATGCCTGAGCCGTCAAGCTAAGTGTTTCTTGTGAGTCTTAAAACAGCACTTATTTAAGAAAGCTAGAAGTCAGTGACACACGAGTATGTGCATACCTATATACATCTGTATGGTTACAATGGTCTATTTGAAAATCTTTCTGCTGTGGAAAGCCTTGAAAGGAGGGTCTCAGGAAAGTAACAGTTGTGTGGCTGAGCTGGCTCTGCTCCCTCATGGCTTTGGGGTGAGGTGGGTAATTACTGTTCGAGATGCAGCCTAACATGGCAAAGGGCATGGCAGGAGCAGCTGTTCCATCTGAGTTCAGACAGAAACCAGCCTTGAGGGAACTGGGGGGTGTTAGAGCTGAGTGGGCCCGTTTCCCTTGGCCCAGAGCTGTGTGAGGTGAGGAG